AGGGCGTGTGGCGTAGTTGGTAGCGCGTTCGCTTAGCATGCGAAAGGTCTCCGGTTCGACTCCGGACTCGTCCATTTGTTACTTTTTTTTTTATCTGATCATACTAAGTGTCTTGGTGTATGTCGTAGCTACAGTACTACAATTCAACGGTTGTACAGTTTTTGTTGTATTTAGCATATAGAGTTAGCCTAATATTTATTCTCTATCTGGAATTTCGTTTCTTGCATATTAGAAATCTGTTGGATAGCTCCCAATCTTCTTTCAACATCAACCCAAAACTCATTTTCCCTTATCATTAAGGCTACATACTTCTCTAAAGCAATCATATTTTTGACCACCAATATGTGAAAGGCATTTGCAATATTCTCAGTTCTGTCCTTAGTCTCTGAAAGTTTCGAAAGTTCTTTATATAAATCGTGGGTTTTATCCTGCGAGTTCGCAATATGGTTAATCAATACAGGAATATCCATTGCAGATAGCTTGGAAAGGTTAAGATAGGACTCTCTAATTATAGGATACTTGGCTAAAATAACCAGCTCTTTACTATTCTTATCGAGGTCTACATCTTCAGTGGTCTGTCTTGTAGGTTCATTTTCTTCTAACTTGATCGTACCCCAGAGTTTGAGTTCACTAATAATTCTGCTCAATGTTTGCAATTCAGAGCTGCTAGCATACGATTTAGAAAGCACCTGCCTCAATTCAAATAACTGAGTAGATAAATCTTTACTATTTGCAGTATTGACTTTAAGTTCGATTGCCAGCAATCTATCTGAAAGCAATTGGAATGTTTCCCTCTCCATTATCACTCTACTGAATAACAATCAAGAAAAGAACTCACGAATAGTTTTTGATTTCAACTACTTAAGAAATTTGAAATTTAGTGAGAGATGCGAAACATATGTACCAGTACCTCTGAAGCTAGAGCTGTTCAAGTTTGCTCTTCATTGAGTGTACTGCTACATCAGTATAGGGTTTCAAAAATGAGTAAGTATATAGCCAACTCGTGAGTACGTTTTAACAGAAACTTGTATTTTCTCTCTCGTATCTATTACATCGTTTACAGAGATTTGTGCATCTTCATTTGAGAAATGTAGACCTACATACCAAAGTAGAGTTCTGTCTGTAAAAAAATTCTTTTATACAAACCCACATAAATTTCCATCTGCTTGACAATAATATGTATTAATAGTACAAAGTCGCTAGAGCACTTTCATTTATTTAATTTTCTTTCTTTTTAAAAATTCTTCTTCTCTCTAGCCTGACCAGAATTGATAGCTCTTTGGGTTAGATAAGCTAATAGGATTGGAGCTTGCTTCAGATCCATTGGAAATTGCATTAACCAGATCAATATCCATACCATCGTTACTCTCTCCTCCATTCTTGTCCTCCTTATTTTCCACACTCTTCTTCACTTTAACAACTTCCTGAACTTTGACGGGAGTTAACAAGTCATCAAATATGACAGATAATTCTGGATGTGCTTGTTTGTATTTGTTTATCTTTTCAAATTGAGACCATCTTTCATATAAAACTTGTTTCCTTTCGTCTTGAATTTTCTTTTCTTGTTCTATTAAATTTTGTTCTAAAAGGTCTATGTTTTGCAATTTAATAGAAACTTTTTCCAACGTAAGTTCAAGGATCTGATCTATCAATTGCCTTTGGTCCTCGGATATGGCATCAGCGGTTCTAGTTGCACTTCCACTAACGGAATTACTTGCCTGGGGATTAGAAACGATTTTCTTAACTATATCTTCAATAAAATTGGTTGATACTTTTTTGTCACTAGCGTTGCCATTAGATTTGTTTTTATCAGATTTCTTTGGGGCTGACAATTTGGTTAAGTACCTATCCTCAATTGGCAATTGTATAAACTTAACCAAGCATTCTTCTCTTGACTTGGTGCCGATATGTTCTGCTATCTTGTCCCATTGCCCATTGCTATTTTGGGTTGTTGCTGGATTTCCAGTATCATAGCTACCGAATATCTCAATTCCTTCTAATAAGAGTAACACTTCTTGTTCAGTCCAAGTGTTCCCACTGTCCACTTCTTCTTTCAACTTGAGGAAGTCACTGGAATAGAAATTCAGCGGGAATAAGCCTTGGTCAAAGCAATCAACACATACTACTGCTGCATTATTTGACGTGGAGTTGGGGTTATTATGGTAGGATTTCACCTTGAGATTGTGGTACCTGGACTTTGTACATTCTTTTCCGCAAACATTGCAAAAGAACTGGATAGAGTCAATGGATATGTTTTTGGAAAGATCTGCATCCTTAGTATACACATTCCTGCGCACTTCAAGATTGAGTGGGACCACTTGCTCGGTTTCCTCCTTTGCTTCTTCTTTAACTTCTACTTTATGGGTGTCTTCCTTTTCTTCTCCTACTGTGTTGGTGGATGCGGTCACCTTGGTTGGAACGAAGGGAACCAATCCACTTGGGGTGTCCAATGTGATCTGGAAGTGTCCGGTGTATTGAGGACCAACTACACTCGACTTTGTTCTTGGGTCAATTTGGTAATTGATTAACCCCCATTTTTCCAAGAAGTGATGGATTCTAATAATGCTTGTTACGTCACCAGCCAAATTTCTTCTTACGGCAGTTACAGTTAAATACTCCAATGGATTGACTCTATAAGCGTTGATCATGAAGTCTCTCATGTTCTTGTAAACTTCTGAAGTCTTGTAAACAGAGTGGAATTCGTCTGGAGATGTCTTGGAGGGAAAGAAGTCTGGGAACAGCTTCTTTTCAATGGAATGAACGTCATTGAGGTTAAACCACGCAGAAAAGGATGGAAGAACAACATGTTGCTGTTGATCCACCAAGTATGACTTAGCTTTTTCCTGGAACGCTCTCTGGGCATTCTCAATATCTGTTGAGGACTTCGATTCATCGCCAGTACCTGCTTCAGTAGCAGGGGATGCTTCAGCTGTTTTCTTGCTAGCTTCTCCGTTGATTGATGGTTGCTCTGTTGCAACCGGTGTCGATGTTAAAGTTTCAGGCGTCTCCGACATTTTATATATAATAGGGAGAGGGGAGGGATATATATTGAAAGGCCACTATCTTGAATTTTGGAAAGCTGTATTGAAAAAATATGTATCTCAGCTAATTGCTACTCTTGCCAATATTGCTTGTGCCCGTTTTTCCTGCTTTCTTCTCTTTATTGTGGCTATCTTACCAGAAGTATGAATCTTTAAAATTACTGTTTTGTTTTTTTTTGGATTGATTTTTTTTTTCTGCAAAAAATTTTGAAATTTCGACTCAAATCGCCGGTGATATGCAGGACTCAGAGGTTGATTGGGGTGTGCCAGAGAGAGGTAGATGAAGACGATGGAGAAGACGACGGAGCAGACAATGGAACAGATTTAACTTATAATTTTAAAGTGCGGAGGTCTGTTCAATGGAGATTGAGGAGAGTTAGACAGTGAAAAAAATCTTCAAGAAACAGGAATTCTTTATGTTGCTGGAAAGATCCGGTGCTGCTAAGAAGGGAAGTGAACTATAGTCAGCGGTCTTTTGAAAAATTAGCGTGCAGCAGCGGGCGCAGAAAACCTTTTAGGTGCTAGTGAGTTCACGCCCGCCTAACAAAATCTGCGTTACGCACTGGCTCTCTGGCGAGCCTGGCTCACTAGCTAATACGATAACACATCCTTACAAGAGTAATTTTCGACGTAGTTAGATTTAAAGAATTCAAATAAGATTAATATAGGGTCATTGGAATCAGATTTGTATCCGTTAGTTACTCTTTTGGGCAAAATAGCCTGCTTCAACCAAACACACTGTTTACCATAAACTGTGTCCCACGCTCTCTAAATATTAGCTCGTGCTTTATCTCTCTGTCTTTTGTGCAGGAGTATGAAAAATAACAATACACGGTAGCTCCATACGCGTCTGACTAAACTTTTGTACATTTGTACCTTCTCTGTAACCTGCTACTTGGAGCCAACTATTATACATAAACGTAACCAATTAACATGCCTAGAGCAGTCTCTGTGGACATAGAAAGTTCCGAGTTAAGGAGGTCGTCGCGTGCGGCAAAGAAGAGGCAAACTTACGTAGAGAGCGACGATAGCGATGAATCAGCATCGGAGGCTGCATCTGATGATGAATACAAAGCTACAAACGTCAAAAGAGCCAAAACTGCAAGTAAAAAACGTCAAAAGAAGTCGCCCTCTTCAACTTCAAGACCGAGCAAAAGTTCAAATAGTTCAATTCCCAAGGATTTCGAGGAGAATTACCTCTATGAATCCCTCTCTCAACCGGAGATATCGATTCACGAGTTGACCTTGGAGTGGATCGAAGCCTACGAGGAAGAGCCTTTAGAGTCCATCACAACTTTGACAAATTTATTGCTAAGGTGTTGTGGGTGCATTCATCTCTTGCAGCCTCACGACTTACAAAATCTAGATTCTGCTGCTGATACAATAGCAGAAGTGCAAATAGCATTTGAGCTGCAAAAGACCCATGAGTACCCATTCATCTCCAACAACAAAGATTTAAGATTCTTCAGGAAGAACGTTTTGGAATTGTTTGAAGAATTAATCGATATATCTTATGAAAAGGGTTTATTGTACAACAATGAAGATGATGACGATGATGAGATGGATGACGACTCATCATCTCTTGCGTCTCCGTTGATGAGAAATGTATTGACATGGTTCACTTCTTTATCTACTTCTACGGCGAGACCACTAAGACTCATTTCTACTGTTATCCTTTTAACAATTCAAACCAAATTGTGTCATGTAATGGTAAACCTTATATCAAATCAAGAAAAGTCACAGAAGCAACTCACGAACATTAAGGCCAAAAATAAGAAGAGTAAAGCCAAGTTGGATGCAGTTACTAATACCATCAAGTCTTACCATTTACAAATTGAAACGATAAATGAATATTTCAATGATATTAGCGAAACAGTCTTTATTCATAGATATCGTGACGTAGATCCTACAATCAGACAAGAATGTTTAAGACATTTAGGTGAGTGGATGATCATTTACCCTGACCATTTCTTCCAATCATCCCAATTGAGATACTTCGGTTGGTTGTTGTCGGACCCATCAAGTCAAGTTAGAAATGAGGTGGTGAAGGTGCTATTGAAGTTGTATAGAAACATCACAAGTAGCGCTGCAAGTAACTACAGTTTAGGAGTAGGATTTAGACAATTCACTGAGAGATTCAAGCGTCAAATGATGAATATGAGTGTTAAGGATCAAGATGCAAATGTCAGAGTAAACTTAATGAGTTGCTTAGTAGAGTTACAGAAGATTGGGTTCCTTGATGAGTTGGAAATTGTAGACATATCACTGCATTTTTTCTTTATCCTTGAGAATAAAAATGGCACTGAATTCAGTACCAAGTCAAAAGCGAGCGAAGATAAATTGAAATTAGAGTTGGCAAAGTTCATTTCGATAGCTAACATAGATTCTTACAAGAGAAGCCTTGAAAAGTACAGCATATACTTGGAGAATATAGGCGAGAAAGAAAATGAGGAAACGAAATCTCAGATCGAGGGATTCATGAAGTTTAACCTATTAATCCAATTCTTGAAAAAGTGTAGTGAGTATTACCAAAAGAAAAGAAAGGCTACAAGTAACAATGCCAGTAAGGTAATTCATGTTATTTTTGAAAGTTTGTACCAATTACCATCTTATCATAAATCATGGGAAGTGCTCGTAAATTATTTCTTATTTGATTTTACAGCTAAATTAACTGAAGGAGAGGGATTGGAAATTAAAAACTTGCTAGAATTGAATTCTAACGAGGATAAACACTATGTTTTGAGCTTCCTTCTTGGAAGCTTGGAATCTAGTAAAAATATCAAAGCTACTTCAACTTCTGAAGAAGAAAACTATGAATCTATTATTTTAAAGCTTTCAAATTACATTCCGACTATCCAGCAAATTCTGATAAAAAATGCAGATCTATTTTTGGTTTATATGAAGACTTGGAACTTAATTTTGAGCGAATCTGACGGTACAAAGGGAATATTTACTGTATTACAAGATCTCGAACAGACAAGTTTATTTAACGATTTAATTGAAAAATTACTAAAGTATTACCAAAATTATGAGCCAGCCATAACCGAAAATGATGAATTACTAAACATCTACGATGAAGTATTTGTCAAATTGCTCAGTAGTTATAATAGTATCGGGAATGGAGGCAAGGTTCTCATTACACCAGAAATAAGAATTTTAGTGCAAAACATGGTAATGGAATTAGCGGGAGAATGTACACATTGCGCTGAATCCATATTTATCACTTCGAGTACCTCAGAGATTGAACAGTTCCAATCTGGGGGTGTGATCCAATTTGAAAATATGTATAAGATTGCCTCGCCATTGCTTAAATTAGGTAGAGTTGGGGAGTTTATCAATTTGAATGGATTCAAACAAGTTACAACATTTTCTCAATTACTCATATCAAAGCTACAGGACCAGGTGAACTTAGAAAGATATTTAACCACGACACCAACGCATTTTCTACAGAACTACTCCAATATTACCAATACTTTTAAGATCATCTTAGATTTCTTTTTGACTTTAAATTCTTGGACGCTAGAAGAACTAATGTTTACTCCCGCAAATTTACAGCAAAATTTCGATTTAGAAATAACATTTGCAAATCTTAGGCATATACTAAGCCTAGAGCTGAGTCTTTTGCTTTCTGTCACCAGTTCACATATCAAATCGAGCAGTATTGTAAATCAATTGCAAACATTAATAGGTGTCAAATTCATTGACCTATTGGTGTCTATGAAGATTTTCTATTCAAAATTCAGAAAGTCCAACGAATTTAAAAACTTCCAATTCTTGAGTGATATTGGAGATGGATTTTTCATTGCAAGATTGAATATAGAGATAGAGCAAAGATTGTTGGACATTTTCCTTTTCAAAGAAGCGGTCTTAGGAAAGCTCTTAGATATTGATCTTGATAGAAGTGAGACCGAAGATGTAAATCTTGGTGATCTTGAGCTCGAGGAGAATGACGAATTTGATGCAAATGACTCAAGATTTGACGAAGACGACATAGCAGATGAAGATAATGCTACTTTAACCAAGCTGCAAGAGCAGAAAATGGAGGAAAAGAGAAATCAAAAGGTTTGGACAGCCGAGAAGGAATTCTGTGTATTTTCTATGAAGTTATTTACGTTGGTAAACCTTTCCATGGTCGATAGTGGACTAAAATCCAGAATCGAGCTAAATAATGAAAAGATTGGTGGATTGTTTAGCAAGATCACCAAACAAAACAATCCACAATCAACCTTAAATAATGTTGAAGAAATTTCGACTGACCCCGTTCAAACTGATCAGTCAATCATCCAAACTGTTGAAACCTAAAAGTGAAATCAAGTATATACTATAATGTACAGGAGTAAGGTAAGTGATTTTTGTAGTACTAAAATATTAGGTAAAATTTGTGTTTATTCTGTCATTATAAACTTATAAATTTTGAGGTGGTTCCCTATGCTTTTTGTCTTTGAATGAGATATCCCCAATACTTTGAGTAAGTGAGTGACTAGGAATTACAGGAGAACCATTGTATTCTCCAGATGAGCGCAGGACTGGTTGAATGCTATGCTTTGATCCGTGCTGGGATGAGCCAGTAGGCAGATCTACTGTAATTGAAGGAATCCTTGATAGATCCGTATCGCTGTCCTTGATTGTAGTAGCAGATTCATCCTTGTTTAAGAGTGTCGTCTTTAGCGAAGGAAGCTCAGTTGCTGGATCAGGCAAATTAACAGCATAATTGTTTGCAGGTACTACATTCGTTTGTGGTGGACTTTGTGGTTTTTGGCGTCCATTGATTAAGGAAGATGAAGACACAATCTTTGGTCTTGTATTTATGGAAGAATTAGTTGACAAAGTCGATGCATCCAAACTATTATTCGTAAATTCGGCACTGGTAGTAGTCACAGGAGAATTAGGAATGGAATTACCACTTTTGATTTTACCCAGGATTCTGTTTTTAAAATTAGAAGCTACTGGACTTAAGCTTCTCCCTTTAGTCAGTTTACTTCTGTAAAGCTTACTGCTTGAATTTGTATGAGATAGTGGAAAAGATGAAATCTCGTCCGAATTACTTCCGGGCGTTTCGTTACTATCCTTCTTGGCTACTGATCTCTTTCTTGAAAATTTCTTCCCATAAGAACGAGCTTGCTTTCTAAATTTGATAGCAGTGTCTTGTCTGAATACTCTAATGCATCCTTGTTCATCAGTAGTTATGATTATATACCCTGGTTCTACGTATGCCTCATTATCACGTCCTGACAACGTACTGTTATACTTCTTCATCAAATCATATATGCAATCGTCAGATAATTCTAACAATTTGCTTGTTTCTAAAGGAGCGAATATAGCTGCATTTACTTTAGTATGATGTGCATGGAATGAAGAGTAGCTGCTGTTCTCATTTGCAATATACTCATATTTGAATCCCTCCGTTTCAAGAAATTTTTGTAAATTCAATTTCTTCATAAACTTGTTGGCATGGAGTAAATTGGTATACTTCTTATGTTTCTGGTGTAAATCGTTTAATTGATGCTTACCATCAAGCATTAATTCAGTCAAGGAATTTTTCAATTTATTATTGATTATCGAGTTATTGTTCTTCCACACATAGCACCAATGATCTTCACTTCCCGATATAATATATTGATGATCATAGCTAATATCTGCAACAATAGAAGACGAGTTATTTGTTAATCCTTTGAAACGAGTCACTAATTTCTTTTGGTGAGAGTTAACTAATCGGACTTTTGAGTCGTTCGTCGTCACAAGGACATTCCATTTGGCCATTGGGTCAGACTTTGTTTTAGAATCTGCTCCATCGTCCTTGTCGTCTTTGGCATGCTTCTTAAAATGACTATGGTTCTCTTTACTTTCATCTTCATTACGTTCAAACACTTTGATTCCTGTGATCTTGTTCCCATTCTTATCGTGAAACGGGTTTACGTGCTTCTCCTTAACCTCATACCTTGCAATTAATTGCAATCCTTTTGTCTCTAAAGTAAAAAATGATCCATTGAAACCTCCTGCTAGACAAATCGTACCATCTGGGGTAAAAGACGCTGCAGTAATCAATACATCATCACCCAAATCATTGACATATGCAATATTTTGCTCGATAATGGACCATAATCTAAGTCTATTGTCCAAAGATCCACTTAAGAAAAATCTATCATCTGTGGGATGAAATTTAACAGTCGTAACAAAGTCCTCATGTGGGAAAGTTTGCAAGCATTCATATTTATCTATATGCCAGAGCCTCACTGTCCTATCCATACTTCCTGATATAAGGAAATTATTCTTACTCCAATCAAGTGAGAGAATATTATGAGAATGGCCCCTGAATATTCTTACTGGCTCCTGATGGAAAACTGGTGCATTAGGAAAAAGTCTAGTCTTGCTTCTTCTATATTCTCCATTATTATTTGAGCCGTTAGCACTAGTGGTTCCATTTTTACCGAAGTTAGCGCCCGAGGTATTGTTAGCTGAAGCTGTGCTCTTCGACATGCTCACTTTACAAGGGTTCTTTTTGTCAGAGCTAATTTCATTTTGTCCTGGAGGAAGAGAGAAACTATCGATGTTGTCAACAGACTCTTTCTTTCCAGTGTTTTCCTTATTGGCTTCTTCATAACTCTTATATTCTAATCTCGCCAAGGGGGAAGATATTACTTTCCATATCCTAATAACAGAGTCCCTGCCTGCAGTGGCTAGATATTTCCCATCTCTACTAAATTCCATAACAAATATTTCATTCTGGTTTTTCTTTTTGTCGCCATTACTAAATGCCTTAGCGTTGTTGCTCTTAATATTATTGATATTAACCTCGTTTTCTTCTTCAGAATCAAAAGTGCTCTCTGAGAGAAACGACATGTCATTATGGTCCGTATCGTTGGGGTGGTCCGTAGCACTGTCGGTAGATAACGTATCTAAGTCAATAGTGTGATTTTGACTTTTCTTCAAATCCATATTAGTGTTTAACTCTTGTGCTAAGAATAGGTTATCAAGTATCTTTGGAGCTTGTCTCTTCCTCTTGGAGACTCTTAAGTAACTGGGGGCCACTAGGGCCTCCTTGGAAATGTTTGCCCAGTCTTGTGGTCGTTCCCCTTCATATGAACTTTGTTCAGCGTGATCGTATTTTTCATTGTCTTCAAGCAAGCCAAGTCCAGAGGTGCTGTAGCGTTGGTTCGACGCTATCCCATCAGCAGATGTGAAGCCAGGCTTGGAAGCCAAATAAGACGTCGAAGAACCGAGTGAATGTTCGTCATCTATAGAAGAGACGGCAGATATGTCTGACACTGAGTGGAGATCATCATCGTACATACTACTGTTGTCTTCATCAAATATACTCATTGAATTTCTATCGCCATGTCCGCGTGAAACAGACTTTGATAACTCTTTAAGCTTAGTTTTAGAACTCCTACGTACTGAAGGCAATCTAGATGTCCTTCCTTCGTCATGAGAGATATTCTCTGCAGAATCACTGTCGTTGCTCATTCCATAAGTGGAGAAGGACGACCCACTGAATGTTCCATGGTTGTTATTGCTGTTGCTGTTGCTGTTGTTGTTGTTTGCACTAGTCAATGACGATGAAGAGTTGATTCTCCGCCCGCTGCCCGTCGTCTTAGATACTGTGGGAGAGGACGCATTAGACACCACTGTTGAGGACTTGGATGTGGGCTTAGATGAAGGCGAAGCTTGTGTGCTAGAGGAAGACTTTGTGGAAGATCTTTTCAAAATCTTATTGAAGAAACCTCCGCCGTTGCTGCTGCTACTGCTGCTACTGCTGCTACCAATACCACTTCCGCTGCTGCCCCGATTGGTGGCGCTTTTCTTGGTGGAATTCTGAGAACTGGGCGGAGACCGTAAGGGCACTTGTTGCCGGGCATGGGATGTGTTCGTGGGTGAAATATTGGTGCCTCTTTGCACCAGTCTATGCAAATCAAGCAAATCCCTACCGGTTGCGCCTTTGTTGGAAGATGGGGTAGACACTGACATTCAATGATAATTAATGTATGAGGGGTGAAAATATATATATCAGACCAAGATTCCCCAGATTCTATATCAACGACCCTACAGTTACCCTGCTATATATATGAATTACAAAGAAATCAAATATCAAAGTGTGGAATAGTGACCAGCTATAGTTATGCGGAATGAAACGGCTCTTGATACCACGGAATGTTTTCACACTCGCTTGCTTTTTTTTCTCCTTCGTTCCACCTTATATGGAAAATAATAGATGACGGAGTACGTTAGCTAGCAGGAGAAAAATAAAATTAAATGAGGGTACAAATGGTTAGGTAACTGTATGGCACATGCAAGGAAGGGGCCAGGAGATAAGCGAAGCAAAACTTATTTTTATGAAGGTAGAGAATATTCGACGAAAAATGTTTCAGAACGTTAATTATTTTCAGGGAAGGTACACCCCAGGTTACTTTGATGTACTATTAGTTTTCGCTTATACGCGGGGGTCTAATGCAATAGTACCAATTTCGAATGAGAAGGGAAGATTTATCAATGAGCCAGAGGGAAAGAGCAACTGGCGCGCATAGAATGCCGAGGTAAGTCTTTATGACAAAGTAGATAAAAATGCCACTGTACTGAAACACACTCGGTACACCCGGAAGGCTAGGTGATTGTTCTGGGTTTCATTCTTCTCGTTCTTTCCAGTGGAAAATAAGTGAGTGCGTGCTAATGGGTAAACTGTGTGAGTGCGATGACATGAAACGGTTTCTGGATGGGCCCACTAGTCTGTTATGATTGATGTTCGGTTCCATGGTTCTACGACTCTCTGGTAGCTCGAACAATATACCAAGGGATATCTAGAACGGTGTGCCTCTGTTTGCCTTATTTTTGTACTAGACTCTATTACTCATGGCTACTTGCTACCCTATTGCTCTATGCCTACTGCATGGCTACTACACGGCTACCCTATTGCTCTATGCCTACTGCATGGCTACTACACGGCTACCCTATTGCTCTAT